GTGAAGACTTTGGGAAAGACCATTTTCTCATGCACACTCACAGGAGATAAAAACATGCAGCTAGAGAATGCTCACAGCGCTGGTGTGACCTTCCCTGTCCTCCTGGCAGGCAGTCATAGTGGTGGACATCCAAAACACTCTGCTCTTTGGCTCTGAGTGATTTCTGTGACTACGTCAAGACACCATCGGCAACCAACGAGCGAGGCTCTGAGGATCTGTGAAAGCTGTCACAGCCCTCAGCTTCCCTATTTAAAAGCGGAGTTCAATGCATTCCTGGTCAGGAGGAAAGTCAGAACTGAAACTTGCCAAAAAGAATTGAAATGTGGCTGCAATATCATTCAGGGTCTAGTCAGGAACACAAAAACCATACCATTTAAAAAACAATATTTGTTTTTATTTATTTCTTTGACTGTGTTGGGTCTTAGTTGCAGCATGTGGGATCTACTTCCCTGACCAGGGATGGAACCCCGGGCCCCCTGCATTGGGAGCATGGAGCCTTAGCCACTGGACCACCAGGGAAGTCCCCATACTGGTTCTTTTTAACAGAGGGAACTTGTTATAAGAACTGCAAAGGCCAAAGGAAAGAATCTAGGAAACATAGATGCGACAACAGGAGGAAGCTCCCATGGTGGCTGCAAACCCAAACTTTGGTTGCCGCCATAACACTCAGGGGAGGGAAGCAATCCCTATCACGCTACCAACGGTATTTTTCACAGAACTAGAACAAATAATTTCACAATTTGTATGGGAAGCAAACTGTAAGAAGCAAATCCCTTTTTTTCTCTTCCTGCCTAGCAGGTTTCCTCTAGCACTCCCTGCTGGTAGAACCCAACAAGGTGACAGCTGGTTTGCAGGAGTCCAGCCTTAGTGAGAAAGGAATACAAGTTTCCACTGTGGGACTATCACAATGCTTCTATGAGCGTTCTTTTTCTTTTTTAAAAAAATTTCCTTATTCATTTATTTTGCTGTGCCAGGTCTTAGTTGCGGCATGCAGGATCTTTAATCACAGCATGCAAACTCTTAGTTGCATTCCTCAACCAAGGACTGGACCTGGGCCCCCTGCATGGAGAGCATGATGTCTTAGCCATTGGACCACCAGGGAAATCCCTGCTATGAGCATTCTTGTACAGTTTTGATGTCCTTTGTGCACTCGTATTTTTGGGGTATATACCTAGGTGTGTACTTGCTGGACACAGGTATTAACCATTTTGGCAAATGTGTAGTGGTGTCTCATTATGATTTCAGTTTGCGTGTTTCTAATTACTATTGAGGTTAAACATCTTCAATCACTTGGATATCCTCTTTAGAAAGCTTTTTGATCATCTCTAGACCATTTACAATTGGGTGGTCAGTCTTTTTCTTATTGTACTATAGGATTTTTAAGTAAAAGTTCTTGATACAAGTCTTCTAATCCTATATATTGCAAATATTCTCTCCTAGTCTGTGAACTTGCCTTTTTCACTCTCTCGATGGCATCTTGTGACAAACAGATGTTCCTAATTTCATGTAGCATAATGCATAAATTTTTCCTTTAGAGTTAGTGTTGTTTGTGTCTTTTTTAAGGACATTCTTATTCTAAGGTGATGAAAACACTTTCTGATATTCTTCTTTTCTCTGTTTTCCGTCTCTTTGTCCGTATGTACTGAATTCTAGTAATTTCTTCAGATCTGTTTTCCTATTAGTTCTGTTTTCAGCAGTTTTGAATCATCTACTGGATTTCTAATTAAAATATTATATTTTTAATTTCTAGAAATTCTGTATTTTCCTCCAGTTCTGCCTGGTCATGTTTGACAGCCTCTTGTTCCTCTTTTGTCTTTTCAAAATACTCTTTATTTCTTTATACATAAATTAAACATATTTAATGTTTATTCTGTACCTAAACATTACAATATCTGTGGTCACGGCAAGTGTGGTCCTACCACTTGCAGGTTCAGGGTTTCTGCTCTCACTGCTTATGGCTCTGTGTTTCCTTCTGATTTTTATAATTGTTTGCTATGAGCTCAAGTTTTTATCCATGGGACTCCTTCAAAGGCTGATTTAAAGTATGTTCTTCCAGAAAGGAATTGTACTTTCTTGTGCTTAGAAATACTTCTAAATTGAAATCACTTAAAATAGGGGGCTTTGGGCTTCTCCCCCAAATTTTAAGGGTTTGGAAATCTGTGGGAGACTCCCTCCCCCACCTCCACCCCAAGCCCAGACCTATTTGGGCAAGTATTCTCATCTCTCTTTTACTCACGAAGGATGTTGGCATTTGGGGAATCCCAGGTTGATCACAGAGTCCTTGATCCAATTCCACACTTTGTATGGACCCCGGTCTTTTGTCTCTTGTCCCCAGATTGGGCTTCTTAAAACCAGGAACCTGCATATACCACCAGGGCTACACTGGTTTCAGTGCTGGCCTACCAATTTCGGTTTTATACTATCTTATTCCTTTCCTTTACTTTTCTGCCAGCCCAGCAATGCATTTTTAAACATTAAAAAAATTTTATCCATCATTTTGAGTGTTCTGTATCAGAAGGGATTTCTTGCACATTAGTCTACCATAATGTCAGAAATAGAAGTCCAATAATGTTTCTTAGAAAATATGGCACTCATGCAGGAGTCCCGTAAAGCACACAATTTCTTTTTCAGCAGTCAGTTAAGGATTTTTTACAAGTGCAAGTTTTCTCTCTCCTGCTGTGTTTCTTCATGTTCACTTAGGGTATCTCAGGAGAAATTCCTTCTGTAAATGTGTGGTTGCCATAACTGAGAACAAATCGAATGAAAGTTCCCTAAGAAGAGCAATTATTGCACCAGGTAATGAGATGATCATCCAGGACCATATTAAGTTGGGAAAAACACTAAAAGCTATGGAAGAACAGATCAACCCAAATAATACCCTCCTGTCAAGATCAAAGCCATCTTCTTTCACAATTTTTCAATTTACAAAGAGCTTGGAGTTGTTTAAAATAGATGAGCTTCTTGTCTTGGGATGTAAATTTAAGTGGAGAAGTTCTGGTAAAGAAGCCAGCGGGTGAACAATTCAGAAGCCAGCTTCTGAACAATCCCAGTTCTGGCTTTATACAAAGATCATCCTTGAAATGCTTTAAAGAAAAAAAAATCCTGTAGTAAAGGTGGTGGGCAGAAAGCCCAGCCAATCTTTGTGTCTCCTTAAGCCGGAAAAGACATTTTCTCCTTCCTAAAAGAGCTTTAGGAAGACCAACTTAAAATTTTTACTGTTCCTGGGAGGCTATGGATGGCTCTGGCTTATTCTCTCTCTCTCTCTTTTTTTTTTTTTTTGGCTTCTTTTAATATGCAGGAGACCAGATGCTTTTCATTCTAGGTCTTAAATAAGCTTGGTGTTAATAACATATCCCATCACTTCACTGGTAGTGTTTTTAACAGTTGGTTTCTTAAGAGGATTTGCAATATAAGGTTCTCTTCTAGAAGTGTCGCTGCCTTTCAAAAAGGGCTATCCAGTCTTCTCGCCCAACGCCCACCCCATGGCTCACATGTAACAGGAGCCCCATAAAAAGCTGTTAACTTCGGGCCCTGTTAGTCATCAAAATACAACCTAGGATTTCACAATTTTTTAGTAACACTTTTTAAAATCTCATGTAGAGTTCCACCTTTCAAAGGCACCAGGGAATATTCATTTTTGCAGGAACATATGAGAGACCTGCCTGTCTGGGTTACTGACATATTTTATGACAACTTTCTGAGAGCGAAACATGTCTGCCTTGGTCTATCCTTCTGTCTAGGGAAGTGATGTTGGCAGCGTGAAGTATTACCACATGTTTGAGGCACATTAAACCAGACCTGGCAGGTGAAGGAAGAGGAGTTTTGCTGACTGGCACTTGCCACATGTGGCTGCCCTCCCAGAATCAGGGCCAAGGCCTTTTGTGATGAGACGTAGCCCTTCCCCGCAGGCTTGGCACGGACCCACACTTCGGGGATTAGAACTGAGCTTTGCTTCAGCTTCTGCTTTATGCTACTACCCTTATTCTCAGAGCACAACACATCTTGACAGTTTTATATTCACATGGCTCCCTCTCTAAGCCCAATTCAAAGTTTGCATCTGGAGAGAGAGTGTACCTATATTTTCTCCAAGACTCTGCTTGCCACCATGCAGCTAGCGGTGGTTTCTGGGACATGTGACACAGAACCTATTTTCATCCAACTTGGACCCAACCCAGAGGTTCTGACCCGTTGAAACCTTGATAGACCTGCTGGTATTTAGGCCAGCCTGATTTACTCAACTTATTTTTCTCCTTCCAGCTTCCTTAATATGGAGTGTTCCTAATCTGATAATTTGTTATTTTCTTACAGGCTAAAAAACACCCAGCTTCTCATAGCTTCATAGCTTTTCCCCTTCATAGCTTCTCAGCTAATTCAGTGGTCCTAGTTTCTACTCTGTCCCCATGATCTTGCCAGTGGCTGCTGGTTTCTCCTTCATCTTTCCAGCATCTCCTGTGGGCAACACTTAATCCTGCTGCTCTTGCCCTGGGGAGTTGAGGTGGTCCCTGTCCTTTCTTTCTGTGCTCAGCTGCTGTCCCCTAGCAGTGTTGCATGTGGGGAGGGGGCTCCTCTCCCAAACTGAGGCTGGATAGGCAGAGCCCCCAGAGAGGGGAAGAGCTCCAGCAGCCAACCTGGGGGTGGGGGGAGTAGGAAACCCAGGCTCAATCAAGAGGAGATAGACATTCACTCCTGGGGTTTCTCATCATCAAAGCTGGAAGCGTGTGGTTCTCCTGGAGGCCACTTCTGCCCGGGGCGTGGGGATCTACGCTTGGCCACAAGTCTGGAGGAATCAGGGGGCCAGGTAGTCTGTGCAGTGGTGGTGGGGGTATGGGATGAGGGCACAGGGACTCCTGGGCTCCTGGGTATTCTGGAACAGTCAGGCTTCTTGGGGAGCTCTAGGAGGTGGGCAGGGGCTGGGGGCTCAGAGCAGAGAAAGTGGATGGCTCTGGGAAGTGCTCTGGTTATACACTAGGAGCCTCAGGAGCGCTTTGTCTTCAGGGGGCATGCGGGGCCGGACCGTGGACCCTCGGACCATTTACCCAGTGTTGCCGAAACTCCTTGCCCTCCTGCCCGTGTCCTGTCAGAAGCGACTTCCCTGCAGAGCCTGCAGCCAGGTAGCTCCCCTGTTGTCAGGTCGCCCCTCCCCTCCCTCTCATACCGCTGGGCCTTCTGGTTTCCTTCCCCCCCTTTTCTTTCTCCCCCAGCCCCCATTCTCTGATGATCTGCCTGAGCCTGGATGGTCCGGCAGCAGGTGCCGGCTCCTTCCCACTGGGAAGTGGGGGCTTGGTGGGCAGAAGGGTCTTGGCCCCGAGAGGCCACAGCTGCTGGCCTGTCCTCTCCCTCCTCCCAGCCTCATGCTCACCCCAGGCCTGCTCCTCCCCTTCTCCCCCGCTGCCCCTCGCTGCTCCCCTTTCTAGTCGGGATCACAGCAGGGTCACCCTTCCTGCAAGAGGAAAGGGAGGTTCCTTCACCTCCCCTTCGTCTCACGTTCACCCCACCCTTTGCCCATGTTCCCCAGGACGTCTCCTCGGAAGCCACTATGTTTCCAGAGAAGATGAGCAATGGGATGCTGAGGGGCAGCAGAGACCAGGAGGCCATGGCCGTGCCTGAGGAAGGCCCCGCCCAGCCGGGGATCAGCCCCACCTTCATCCTCCAGGAGACCTCACTGTGATCCTGACTCGGGACCCTCTGCCCACATTCTGCCAGGCACACCCTGCCCCTCATTACCTCAAGCCCCTTGTCTCAAAGGCCCCAGGCAGAGGGTAGAGTTTTCACATACAGGGTCAGGAGATTGGGGTGAGAGCTTTTCTTGACTTTTGCCAATCTGTTCTAGAGCAGAGATTCTAAGAATTTTTGGTCTTAGGATCCCTTTACATTCTTTAATATGTAGGACTCTGAAAAACTTTTACTGTGGGTAATTTCTATTGATATTTATCATATTAGAAATGAAAATAGACTTAAATATTTATTTAAAAATAACATCAATTAACCCACTATATATGACTATACATACCATTTTTATGAAAAATAATTATGTTCCATATTGGAAAATATTTAGTGAGAAGAGGGGCATTGTTTTACATTTTTGCAAATATCTTTAATGTCTATTGTAATTGAGACCTGGATTCTCCTATCTGCTTCTACATTCCATCTTTTGTTGCAATATTCCATGTCATTTGGCTTCTGGAAAATTCCATCATACTCATGAGAGACTAGGAGTGAAAAAAGGCAAATCACTTCTTGTATTATGAAAATAATTTTGGCCACTTAGAGCATGGAATGGGTCTCAGGGACCCTCAGCATTCCTAGACCAACACTTTGCATATCTGTGATCAAGAGCAAACTTTTTCTGTAAAGGGCTAGAGCTCCTTCACAGGAACTTTAAATATTTTGGCCTTTTCTGTCTGTGGCAGCTATTCAACTCTGCCATTGTATCAGGAAAATAGCCATAGATTGTATGTAAACAAATAGGTGTGTCTGTTTTCCAATAACTTATTTACAAAATCCGGGCTTCCCAGATGTCTCCTGCCAATGCAGGAGACACAGGAGGCTCAGGTTCAATCCCTGGGTTGGGATGATCCCCTGGAGGAGGGCATGGCAACCCACTCCAGGATGCTTGCCTGGAGAATCCCAGGAGGAGTCTGGCAGGCTACAGTCCATGAGGTCACAAAGAGTCAGACACGACTGAAGTGACTTAGCACAAAGTCTGGGGCTACATTTGGCTCGTTGGCCTTAGATTACAAACCCCTGCTCTCGAATACCAAGCTTGCAGGGGCCCTGGGTTTAAGGGTTAGGCCACACAAGGGAGAGGATGTGCATCTCATCCATCAGGGCCATCTGACTCATCCTTGCCTGGCTCTGTCCAGAGGAAGAGAAAGGGAATTTCTCAGACAAGACTAGATTTCTCTGTTTCTATTCACTTAGTTCTCAGTTTAGTGAAATCTGCAGTCTCCACCTTAATACTTTGGTATCCCTTGGCCAGCTCTGCTTTTCCCAAAGTGCATCTAAGCCTCTGCCCTCTAACTCTGCTGCCCCTCAGAAAGCACAGGCACATCACACATCAGTCCCAGAGAAGCTGTCCTGGCTATCACTGCCCCACCTCTACAGTGAATGGGCACCTGGGGATGGGGCAGGAGGTAAAACACCCCCCCGCCAATGGACCAGCATCCTTCTCACTTGTAGGCTCTTGTTTCCTTTTGGAGTTTTTTTCCCACATACCCCTGCCCCCAAGGTTTCCCAATGAGAGGGTATTTTTCTTTTTCTGCTACAGAGGAAAAGGGGCCTAATCTTGGCTCTGGTTCATTTGTGGGTCAAAGTCTCCAACCTGACATCTCTTCTGGTTATCCCCATTTATCCCCTGGTCCTTTCCTTGGCAATGACTGCCCTCTTGCACCCTTTTGCTTCCTAGTCTGAGCTGTGCTTGGTGCTGTCCGGCTGGAGAAGGCTTTTGGAGCCCACAGGGCCTGTCTAGAGCACTAAGGAAAGCAGCTTTGCCTGGAAAGATCCCGAGGCAGACTTAGCAACTTGTCATGATGGCACTTGCCCTCCCCAGTCCCCACCAGCTGCATCCTTCTCTGGCCCTCCTTGTCTTCTCTACCAGGGTAATGCGGTCCTTCTGCCCTCAAAGGATGTGCCATTACAAGGCAAAGGCTGGAGTGTAAACCGGGTGGATGGAGCAAGCTCCAAACCCTGAGTTAGCAGAAGAAGCCTTGTGCTATGGGGGGTGGGGGGGGGCAGGGACCCAACGCACCCTCAAAGCCAGCTTTCCCAGCTTCATCCCCAGAGAGATGGTATGCTACCAGCTCATGAAGAAATTCATCTGTTCCTCTTCCGATCATGCTCAAACTCAACAAGGAAGATACTGCTATTTGGCTTTAAAAATAGAACATTCAAGCTGGACTTTTATGGTCTTGTGAAGAACGTTGTGCTTATGCCCACCCACACCTGGTCCCTGCCCTGCCTGGCCCCGTCCAGCTGCCCAGAAGCGGCTCTGCACAAGCTCTACGGGCCCCTCAGCGGAGACTTAGGAGATTTACGAGTCTGGCCTTGGCTGAGGCCTTCTCCCCATGGCTCCCAGCCCCGGTCCAGCTGCTCTCCCACGTCTCACGCAGCCTCGGCTGGGACGTTCTGTGTCTCTTTTCCTGCCTCCGCCCCAGTCTGCTGAGTCATTCCCTCAGCCCCCTTTCTCCCGCTGTCCTGGCCAGCCCTGTAGAGGAATAGCCGCTCTGCACACCAAAGTTCAGGCCCTGGCCGCTCACAGCCAGCCAGAATCTCATTTGCTCTCATGGTGGCAACGGTGGCTTCTGTCTAAGGCTATCCATCCCTGTTGGGACTCTAGTTGGCACGATCCCTGCATTTCCACTCCAAGGCACTGAAGTTTAACAAAAAGGTTGTTCCTTCTCTGTCTGGGCTTCATGTGCCCAATCTAAAGCCACACCTGATCTGAAAAGTTCCTTTCTGTATGTATAGATTTGTGATCTTTCCTCAAACAACTTCTAAGGGGCCAGAGATAAATTCCATCAAAGCACTATCTGATTTCTGGCATCCCATGGCAGGACAGGGGGAGAGCCTGAGAGGGCAGTGCCTGTGGGGAGGAGCTGGCCTGAGAGAGCTCATCTGAAGACAGACTGTGGAAATAATTCATGAGCCAGTGAGGCCTTCAGCCAAAATCATGGAAGGAACCCAGTGAACCCAGGCCTATCCTGTTTGTCTTGGAGGTTAGGTGTCTAATACAATGGCAGATCATCATTATCCCCTGGAAAAGATACACATTCTCCTTCTAAGGTCCTTCAAGGATGTAATTGAGTCTTCATACATAAGGCCTTAAGGTGTTGGGATGAAATTTCAAACCAGGCAGCTAGGACCATGTACAGATGTCTCTGCATCCTGGAATGTAAGCAATGTAAGCTTTCTGGCTTAACCTGTAAATATAACTCATATCAAGAAAAGAGTGGAAGGCTGCAGGGCCCAGAGAGGGAGAAAATGTAGTGATGAGGGGCAGCTGGAGAGACCGTGATGCAGATACGAGACTCCTAAATTCCTCCCTGCCTCTGACGTCTAGTGAGCATCTTGCAGTGCAAATAGCAAAGCATGTTTCCTTCTTCAGTGTCCCCTCTGTCTATAGCCCCGGCCCAGCTCTGTTTACACTCACAGCTGCCAAGAGCCAGTCTGTCCCCTGGTCTTCCCATCAGCCCCTGCAGCCTCTGCCAGCCTCGGCTGCTACCTCAGCCTCAGCTGCTACCTGTGTGCCTGTGGTCTTGCAATCGCCCAGGGTTTGTGGGAACCTCAGGGGAGAAAAGCAAGGGACAGTGCACGAATTCAACTTCCAATTCAATCAAACCCTTTCCTCGCCCACTCCCCTTGTAACTGCCACAAGGGAGCCCCTGGGGCGTCACCTGTGAGTGGCAAGCTGAGGCTCTATCTGCTCCTGGTCCTCCTGAGTACTCTCATCACATAGGTGCCCACTGCTCTGCGGGGACCCAGAGCCAAGCCTGAATCAGATCCGATGGGTGAGAGGCAGAATGAAGACAGGTGAGGCGTGGCAGACAATCCAGGTCCCGAGGCTTGAGTCGCAGTCCAGGAGAAGGGGACAACTGTGATGATCACTTGTCACCGGGTGCTGGTGACAGCGGCCTGGTAGGAAGAAGGGCGTCTGCCTCTCCAGAGACCTGGGGCCCGGCCTCTGTCTCCTTTGTTCTTTGGCCCGAGTTGCAGGCTGTGGTGGAGTCAAGGCCAGAGCACCCCAGGCCTCCGGCGTAGAGACGAGATCGCATTGGCCACTTCTGCAAGACACAGGGAGGGCACGAGAGTCAAGCTCACTAGCAAAGCCCCTTGTAGCCCCTGGCACCCAAAACAGGGCCTTCCCTAGCCTCCCTCCCTGGGACTACCCCTTCCCACCACCACGACTGCACCGTGACAATGGTCCTGGGCTCACCACCACTCCTGGCCTCACACCTCCTCCTGACCACCTGAGCCTGGCTGAGAGGCACAGGAGGACCTGTCTGAGGACAGCAATGTCCACAAGAGGAAACTGCCCCCTGGGGAAGGAGGTGGGCAGCTGCCAGGGGCTGGGTGGTGGGGAGGGCAGCCAAGTGGGGCAGGGAGAGGCTCCTCCTGACACTGAACAGTCCTGCCCCCTTCTCTCGCCCAGCACCCGTCCAAGTGCCTATGGCCACAAACATCAGTGCTGCCCACTCTCTCTAAAAGAAGCAGGCCTCTCAGGCCCGTCCGTCCTTGCAGGAGGCACATGGGCAGTCCCAGAAAATGCCAGGTTGACTCTGCCCTAAGATCTGCCTTCCTCTTGACAGCCCCCTGACCCAGTGGTTGAGGGCCCTGCTCCTGGGTAGCTACCCCACCCCACCAAGCTGCCATGGTTCTAGCCCTAGCCGGGCTCTCATGTATTCATTCTTCAACATATTTATCCATCACCCACTTCATGCAACTGCCTCCCCTTGCTGTCATCTCACAGCTAAGGAATGACTGTGCCACCCAGGGACTCTGCACCAGGTACCACCACTGGCATTTCAGAGTGACCCCTTTTTGTTTCAAATTCTTGCATTTTAGCTGTATTTACATCAAAGAAAAATATCTTAAGTCTCAAGACATTTCAGAACTATGATGTTTAAGGGAGAGAGATGGTGACAAGTATCCTCCATAAAAATAAAGTTGCTATCCTCAGAGAGCAAAGATGACCCTTTATCACAGTTACATTCTGCACCGCCCCCCCCCTCCGCCACCTCCACCCCCGCGGCCTGCCTAGTGGCTATGAGCCTGGGGTCTAAAGTCAGACACTAGGGTTCAAACGGCATTCAGACACTTAACCTCCCTAAGCTTTGTTTTCCTTGTCTGTAAAGTAATTCTCAATTAAAAAAAAAAACAAAACACCACCTTCATTTGGTTCTTGTGTGGATTAAAAGATGAAAATGCTTTAAAGCCCTTAGTCCAGCTCCTGGAATAACTTAACATAATGTTAACACAATGTTAACTGTTATTGCAATGATGATTATTATTAGTCATACTTTTCCTTCATGATCTCATTTCATTCCCTGGAAGCGAAGTCAGACTCACATTATCTTCCTTTTTACGTATAATAAAATAGAAGTTTGGGAAAGGTAGGTGGCAGACTGGTAAGTTCTGCATGCAGCACGCCCTCTTCCCTGATTTCCCAGCCCCTGTTGGTCTCCTACCCGGCTGGGTAGCTTCCAAAGTGATGTTTTCTTAGACCAACCCCTCCTGAGACAGAAGTCCAGAGGACGCCAGGGCCCTGTATGATGGCATGAAGGCCCTGGAATCTAGGAATCTCCCTAAAGTGTGGTTTTCTTCCCCAGGCCCCAGCCCTGGAAATTGCCCACTTCGCTCCTCGACCACTAAGTGCCTCAGAGTCTTGGGGCCTCTTAAGAATTTCCCTCCCCTTGGAGGAACCACATTCTCATGGAGTCATTTCTAATCATCATCCCCACTGCATCGCATGAGAAACACAGGGTCAGCCCAGTCCCAAGAGCCTGCCACAGCTTCTCTCCCTCTGAGAGAGCAGGAAGCAGCTGGTCCCAATGTCAGCTGTGCCCAATGGATGGGGCCTGAGTCCAGGGTTCCCCATCCCAAACCCCCTTCCCCAAGGCCCCGGGCTTGTGACCTACCTTGAGAGGGTGCAAGTAGCGGAGTCCACGCAGGAAAGGCGGCCAGGCAGGGCCAGGCATCTCTTGTCCAAGCGTGCGGGTGAGGTGGGCTATGTAGCTGGTGGCCAGCACCAGCACGTCCAACTTGGACAGCTTGGTGTCTGGCGGCACGGCTGGCAGGGTGGCCTGCAGAGCCAGGAAGGCCTGGCGCAACGTCCTCACCCGGCTCCGCTCCCGCGCAGCATTCTCAGGACTGGCCTCGCTCTGTACAGAGGACCCCGGTGAGTGGATCTGACCAGACCCCCATCGCCCCTGGGTGCTAAGTGTATCCTAGGGCAAGGTCTCCTGCCAGAGTAGTAGCAAGCCAATCAGCAGAGACCCAAGGGCCTCGTCCCTTCTTTGTCTGCTCTCGACCCGGCCCCACTTTACAGCGGAGGAAACAGAGAGAAGACCTCGCCTGGGCTCAGAACTGGGAGCCCTGGCCTCTTTCCCATCCTCTGCTGGGCTTCCCTCGGCTCTCGCCCCATCGACACCTAACTCTGAATCCTGCTTATCAGGATGCCCCGGGTCCACAGCGAGCGCACAGCCCTGCCCTGCTCTGTAGGGCTGACCCTGGCCCAGCCAGGTCCTGAGATGAGGACACGGCTGTGGTAAAGAGGAAAGGACAGCAGAGCCCACTGGCCCCGCTGCTGATGGCTCCTCTGGGACCTTGGGCGACACCTCACTCCTCTGGGTCTCAGTTTCCTCATGGGAAGTCAGCTGGGCCAGCTCTCTGAGCTGCACTCTGGTGAAGGCCAGTTCTGACTTGTCCCAACTACCCAAGCATGGAGCCTTGGAGCGGCAGTTGACCAGTGTCCCCTCTCTTAGGCAGGACAGTAACCATGAATGAGACTCTGCCATCAGAGATGACACTGCAGCGCCTCCCATGCCTGCCTCCCGCAGCTCCCTCTTCAGGCCCCAACTTTCTTACCCGACCCCGAGCCAGGCTCCTGGCTCTGGCTCCTCGAGGGTTCAGGGCAGCTCGGCTCCATCTTTGGTTGCTCCAATTGGACTCTTCCCACAGGTCCTGCCCTGTCCTACTCAGGCGGTTCCTCTTCCTCTCAGTGCCTGCTGACAACCTCGGCGTGGCCTTGGCTGGGCTCTGGCCCAGTCCTGGCATGGCCCGTGCCCCTCTGGCCTCCCTCTGTGCCATGCACACCCCTGAGGTGTGGTGCTACAGTCCCCAGCTCTGGGAAGCAGTGCCCAAGGGAGCCCTTAGGCTCTCGCTAGCGGGGCAGGCTGGTCATCCAGCCAGCAATGTCTATATCTGAGGGAGCTGGCGCCAACTCATTCCTGCTCAGCTCCTTGCTCTGGGAAAACCGCCCACCCGGCACAGCCCCCGCAAAAAGCCTCCGGACTGCCTCCCAACCGGCTGAGGGGTGGGGGTGCTGGACGCGGGGAGTGGCCAAGCCCTGGGAGGAGGCCCCTGCTGAATAAGGCAGGAGGATGGTGGGAAAGGAGCACCCTTCCCGGAGCCTTGCCTGATGCCGCCGGTGGTCCTGGGATAGACCTGCTGCTTCAGCTTTGGGGCTCAAGTCCATGGAAGGGCCCTGAACTCCCTTCCTGGTGCCAGAAGCCTGGTTGCGTACATCCCTGAAAGGACCTTCCCTCGCCTTTGCCTGTGAGCATGACCTTCTGGCTACAGGTCCTCCTCCCCCTACCCCAGGCATGTCTCCTCTTTCCAACTCAGTACTGTAACTCTTACCTCTTTGTCCCCCTGGAATACCTCCCTCCAGCTCTGCCAGGGGAAAAGCTACCCATCCTTTGGGCAGAACCCACATCTCCCTGTTTGATTGGCACCCCAATCTATGCACAGTCATACCCTGATTAGCTTCCTAATGGTTCACTGTTCTAGATCAGTACAGGCCAAGCACTGTGGTAAGTACTTCACACCTATTATCTTATTTCTTAGACCAACCTTTTAAGAAAAAAAGACTCTTATATCATCACTTTACAGAAGGGAACACTGAGGTATTCAGAAGTGAAATACCTTGCGCAATGTCAAACACTGAGCAAGTGATGAAGGTGACGAAAGCCCAGGAAGTCAAGTGGGACTTGGAATGCTGCCCCTCGCCCTAGGCTGCTCTGCCTTGGGTGGATCACTCACATGTCTGTTTCCCTGTGAGACTCGAGGTCTTTGAAGGCAAGGACCAGGTTGTTTGCTGAGCTGCCTCAAATCCTGCATACAGCTGATTAGGAGGGGACAGGCTGAAGGAATAGCCAGCCTGCCAGAGTCACCCCTGACCTTGAGTTACCACCCCTCCCTGCAGCAGAATCACTGCAAGTCCCTTATCCCCCATTCTTAAACGCCAGCAGAGACAGAATAAGTAACGGGAAAGTACAGAGAGATCAGAGAAACAAAGGAGGATATACTGGGAGACAGACATTCAGCCAACCAGAGAAAGGAAAACAGAGGTGAAGTAATACTGACTTGAATGTCCATCAGTAAAGAAGTGATGACATTGATTTAGGTATATTCATAGTGTGGAATGATATGCAGTAATAAGAAGCAAACCTGTGTATAGTGACCTGAAAACACTCCACAATACACAGTAAAGTGTCGAAATCTAGTTGTAGATCACTATGTACAATGACATCCCGACTAGGCAGTTTGGCTGTCTAAGAGCAACACCTGGCTTAGAAAATGGGAAAAACCTAAAGTTCCAACAATTGCAACAGGCTGACGATCCTGTTCAGGTATCGCAAGATGAGACTGATATGAAACATTTCTGTGCTTTACCTGAGAGATATACACATTCTCAGGGGCATAAGAACCTTGCCTTATACAAGAACCTCTGTTATTGAAACTAAGGGTCATCAGAAACTATTGTGGCAATCCTCTTTGGGGTCAAAGTTCATACCAATCTTGAAAGACCTGTTCACTGTACCCTCAGGACAGAAGAATGGCATATGGATGGAAAAAGCAATAACTGCATATTTTTCAGACATAACAGAACTGTCTTGTGTTATACGTGTAGTTACTCCAAAGTTATCAGATGCCAACCTTCAAGTGATGAGCTAAGAATCAGTGGGACGCTCATTTCAAGACCCTCAGCCCTGTTTTGAAAAGCTGCCTACAGAGAATTCCACTGCCATAAACAGATAAATTGAGCATTCCAAATCTAACCATCCGTGAGATGAGGAGTGGCCCATAGAATGAGTAGCAAGTATTTTCAGACTTTCAGTTCAATACTGTCTTTCTCAGAAGGCATTTGGGTGTGACTAAGGCAGGCCTCTCCCAAGCTTCCATCCAGAGCCCATCTGAAATGTAATCAGGTCAATGTCAAAGCCAAACTTCTAAGGGAACTCATGAAAGCCCTTGGCAGATGGTAAATGGTGTATGATCTCTCTCCTTCTGGAGGAACTTAACCTATCAGGGAAGGAGGGAGCTCTGGCTCCAATTCTGAGTCAGGACACAGATAGGAAGGAAGGAAAAAATTAAAACTATACTTGCAGCCACATGGAAAGAGATCTCCTTGTGCCCAAGTGCATTCCTACACTCTCAAGGAGCTCTTCTACCCATATGCTCAGTCCTCAGGACTGCCAAGTCATGGCCAGTTTAACCTGGGACTTCACAGACTTTCATCTCAGGACTCAAGACTTTCACTTCTCAGATTTGCATCCTCAGCAGAGATGCTAGAAAGGAAAGGAAAACTTACACAATGAAAAATAGTGTCCACAAAGCCCTAGAAGGTGAACCAAGACAGGGTAAGCCTGAGGGGTGGTGTTTCCCAGGTCAAAATCCAGGGGACGTTTCTATTGCTCCAGTATTTGCACAAGTTTCCTATCAGGCTGCAAAGCAGGCAGACTGGGCCTCTGCAAGCTTGTCTTAAAGGCATGAGGGCTGAGGCTCATCTACAGGGCACAGCTCAGGTCCATGCCATGCCTGGCTATCTCTGCTGGTACAGGACTACCGGCATGCACCTGTGTGGACAGTCCTGTGAAGTACAGCTTTGTCCCAGCCTTGGGCTTCGTCCCTAACAGCCAGGCCACGGATATGGCAGGGCAGGTTCTGCCACATTGGTCCAAATGGGCTTCATGGAGAACACAGACAGATGATGGGTGAAGGCACAGGTTCTGCCATGCGTTCTCTCTCTTTTTTAAAGTATTTTGTAATTTAATTTACTTATTTATTTTTGGCTGTGCTGGATCTTCATTGCTGCACTGGCTTTTCTCTTGTTGCCACAAGTGGGAGCCACTCTCTGGCTGCTGTGCATGAGCATCTCATTGTGGTGGCTTCTCTTGTGGCGGAGCACAGGCTCCAGAGCACAGGCCCAATAGCTGTGGCGCAGGGCTTATTTGCTCCGCGGCACATGGAATCTTCCTGGATCAGGGATTGAACCTGTGTCTCCTGTATTGGCAGGTGGATTCTTCATCACTGAGACACCAAGTATTCTTTTTCGAAGTTGGTCTGGGACATCTGTTTCTTGAGTAGGAAACAGGTAGGGTCCCAGGAACTGGTCTAACTAATGGAAGTTGGGCCTAATGGCTCCTATCTCGGCCTCTAGTACTGATGACAGATTCTCTTCCTCCTGGGCTTTGTTTCAGCACAGCACCACCAGCCCCCACTATTTCAGGATGAGGATGAAGCTCTGTCACAGTTCACATTGGGACTGGCTTTGTCTACAGAGATGTGGAGAGGAAGTGGATATAGATAGAGTAGGATCATTTTCAACCAAGAACTTGAGCTCCACCTCCCAGGAATTGTCATCTACACCTGGAACAATGACCTCTTGAATACTATTCACATTTGAGGTCCCTTTGAGAAAGAAGTACTCAGTAAGCTCAGAATCTATCTGTATGGCCAGCGGACTGGTGCGAAGGGACAAGAAGAGTAGCCTTTCCCCTCTCTTTCTGGAACAGTCATTCATATTTCTCTCAGTGCCTCAAGTGCTATAGAAACAACCTAGAAGTGTGATTACTTCCAGTCCAAAGGAAAAATGCACTTTTATTCTTTTTCAATCTTATGTCTCTAGATATATTCCCATTTATTTTTGTTTTGTATTTTATTTGCACCCAACTCTTTTTTTTCTTGGTGCCACTCAGTATGAGAGATCTTAGTTCCCCAACCAGGTATTGAACCCAAGCCCCCTGAAGTGGAAGTGTGGATTCCTACCACTGGACTCCAGGGAATTCCCACACACAACTCTTTTTTGTGTTTTTGATCAGTGTTGCCAGAAACATACCTGTATTATCAACCTGTTCAAAGATCAGCCTTTTTTTTTTTTAATATACTGTATCTTTAAAAATTATTATAAAATGTACCACTTTAACTGTTTTTAAGTATACAGTTCAGTGGCAATAAGTATATTCACTTTGTTGTGCAAAAATCATTGCCATCCCTCCCCAGAGCATTTCTCATGTTGCAAAACTGAAATTCCATACTTATTAAACAATAATTATTCATTTCCCCTACTCCCAACACCTCTGAACTTTCTGTCTCTGAGAATCTGGCTACTCTTAGTCCCTCATATGAGTAGAATCATGCAATATTTGTCCTTTTGTGAAACAATATTCCATTGTATGCATTTATCACATCTTGTTTATCCATTTATGTGTCAATGAATATTGGGTTATTTCTACTTTAGGGCTATTGTGAATAATGCTGCTAAGAACATTAGTGTACAAGTATCTCTTTGAGATCCTGCTTTTGATTTTGGGGGGTATTTACCCAGAAGTGAACTTGCTGGATCATATGATAATTCTATTTTTAATATTTTGTGGAACAACCATACTGATTTTTATAGTAGCTGCATCATTTTATATTACCACAAGCAGTGCACAAGAATTCTAATTTCTCCACATCTTCCACAACACTTATTTTCTGTCTTGTTTTGTTTTATAATTTCCATCTTAATGAATGTGAATCCCTATTCTTTTAAAGTCTCTATTTCACTAATTTTTAGCCTTATTTTTATTTTCTTCCTTCTCATTTCTTCCATTTTGCCCTAGTGGTCATTTTCCAACTTCTGGAAAAGAAAGCTGAGTTGGTTTGTCTTTGAAGTTCACTGTGATTTGCCAAATGATAAAAGGAACAATAGAACAAGAAGACTTAGTTATCATAAACATAACTTCGCATCTAGTAACACAGCCTCAAAAATACATAAAGCAACAACTGAGAGAAATGCAAGGAGAACTATATAAATCAACAGT